AAAAAAAAAAAATTCAAAGTTATCTGTTCTGCTTCATGTTGTAATCACTTTTTTTTAGGTTGGTCATAACTCTGGCTTGAACTCTGGGTCTGAACGCTGTCCCTGAGCAATTCAGCTTAAGGCTAGCACTCTGCCGCTTAAGCCACAGCACCGCTTCCAGTTTTTTGGTTGTTTATTGGAGATAAGAGTCTCAGGAACTTGAGAAAGTGGCATGAGCCACCAGCGCCTGGCTCATATGACACTTTTTTTTTTGGTCGGTCCTGGGGTTTGAACTCTGGTCTTGGGCGCTGACCCTGCACTCTTCAGCTCAAGGCAAGCATTCTACTGCTTGAGCCACAGCACCACTTCTGGGTTTCTGGTGGTTAATTAGAGAAAAGAGTCTCACAGACTTTCCTGCCTGGGCTGGGTTTGAACCGTGATGTTCAGATCTCAGCCTTCTGAGTAGCTAGGATTACAGGCATGAGCCACTGGTGTCTGGCATATGACAGTTTTATGTAAAAATTCATAATAATTTCTGTGTCATTTAAAACAATCACGAGGTACCTAAGATAGTAGTAGTGATAACTAAAGAAATGGTAACATAAAACAGTTTATATAAGGAGTAATGGAATGGCTAATGACTGGAATCCTAGCTACTCAGTAGGCTGAGGTCTGAGGATTGTGGTGCAAAGCCAGCCTCGGCAGGAAAGTACATGAGATTTACTTCTAATTAACCACCAGAAAACCAGAAGTGGTGCTGTGGCTCAAAGAAGTAGAGCGCTAGCTTTGAGCAAAAGAGCTGAAGGTCAGTGCCCAGGCTTCAAGTGCAACTCCCCAAGACCGACCTTAAAAATAAAAGCAATGGATTGTCCTATTCTTTTGTAAAGTTATATTTGCAAGTGGAAATCAAAACCTACCTTTGTTTTATTCACTGTTAATAATAACACATTAAGTGTTTAAAGGTAATAAGTTAGTAGCTGACTTTTTCTTATTCCTTCCCTCCTTCTCTTTGTGTGATGCAGAGGTTTGAACTCAGGGCCTAGAAATGTACTGAGCAGGCATTTTACCATTATTTGTGTCCACTGGGTCTAAATTCTTCTGTTTATGCTTTTCATAATAGCTGGGATGGCAGGCACATTTAGCTCACTCAGCTTTGAGATGGAGTGTTGAGAACTTTTTTCCTGGGTTGGCCTCAAATGACAGTTCCTCCTAATCTCAGCTTCCCACAGCATCACTTTGTTTTTTTGGTCATTAAGTGGAGATCAGAGTTTTCATGGATTTTCCTGCTCAGCCTGGCTTTGAACCATGATCCTAAGATCTGAGCTTCCAGAGTAGCTAGGATTACAGACATGAGCCATTGGTACCTGGTTAAAAATATTTTAAATCATTGGAATTTTCAAATATTTTTGAGGCTGGGGCTGGGAAGTTGGCTCAGTGGTAGAGCGCTTGCCTTGTGTGCCTGAGGCCCTGGGTTCGATTCCTCAGCACCATATAAGCAAAAAGAAAAAAGCCGGAAGTGGTGCTGTGGCTCAAGTGGTAGAGTGCTAGTCTTGAGCTGAAGAGCTGAGGGACAGTGACCCGGCCCAGAGTTCAGGCTCCATGACCGGACCCAAAAAAAAAATTTTTTTTTTTTTGAGGCTCATTGGACAGTAGTAAAAATTTTCTCTTTGCATCTGATGTTTCAGAATATATACGTGTTACTATAATACATATGTTTTGAAGCAAGATTGTGACTTGATTTTTTCTTTTTTTTTTGATTGGTCATGGGGCTTGAACTCTGGGCTTGAGTCCTGTCCTTGCACTCTTCAGCTCAAGGTGAGCACTTTCCCACTTGAGCCACAGTGCCACTGCTGGTTTTCTAGTGGTTTATTGGAGATGAATCTCAAGGACTTTCTTGCCTGGGCTGGCTTTGAACCGCAATCCTCAGACCTCAGCGTCCTGAGTAGCTTGGATTATAGGCGTGAGCCACCAGCACCTGGTGAGACTTGATTTTTTTTTTTTTTTTACCTCTAGTTTCTACCAATAATGTAACATTTTATATTCCTTTTTTATTTTTATTTTATTATTATTATTATTTTTTTGGGTCCGGTCGTGGGGCCTGAACTCTGGGCCTGGGCGCTGTCCCTCAGCTCTTCAGCTCAAGGCTAGCACTCTACCACTTGAGCCATAGCGCCACTTCCGGCTTTTTTCTTTTTGCTTATGTGGTGCTGAGGAATTGATCCCAGGGCCTCATGCATGCAAAGCAAGCGCTCTACCACTGAGCCACCTTCCCAGCCCAATATATATTCCTTTTTTATGTTAATATGGTTTATAGGAGCCAAGTGGTACATGCATATTTTAGGAAATAACAGCAATATCTACTTAGCTGCCCATTATGAGACCTCTGACTATCAGGACTGGTACACGAAGAGTAAAGGTGTATGAACCTACTGTCATAGATGTCAAGAATTATGCAAGCATTAGGGTGTGGGAGTGGATTGTTATCTCTATTAAAGTATTTATGACAGTGTATAGTTAGTGTATAGTTAGTGTGTTTCTCTTAAATTGTGAGTTCATTGAGGGGAGGGAGCAATCAAACCCATCTTATTGGGTATTATTTCCCTGTGCCCATATTCCTAGTTTTCAGAAAACACTAGCTAACTTTTAATAGATGGAACAAACAATTTGAGGCAGAGTAGAGACAAAGTGGGGAGAATGGATGATGAGGTTCCAGGCACTAAAGATTAGCCTCAGAAATTTGTTTGTGGTAATTATAGTCACAGACCCCTAAAAAATCTTAAACATACTACTTTGGCCAAATTGTTGTCAGTTTAAACTACTTTATTTCTCTTTCGAAATTTTAAGTGAACGTATTATTGCTTCATCTTAATGTTCAATGTTGTTCAGTTGAAAATGAGATTGTATCCTGATGTGTATAAAATGAAATCATAATGAAAATGAAATTATAAACCTTCATTTTGACAGCTTGAAATCACAGAGAATGTTGCCGATGTAGGATGTGTAACTGTTGTTGAGCATCAGCTTCCCCACATGGATGTGACTACCCAGGAAGTGAAGCAGGGAAAAGATTTGTATACATCATCATTTGTAAGTATCCATTTTAATGCTTTTCATTCTTTGCTTGCTTACTTGTAAAAGACTAATGGAATTTCTGATATATTTAGGTTTTTCTACCAGACATTGTTTCTCATTGTAGGGAGCTGTTAATAGGAAGATAAAAAATTTGGGCTGGGAAGGTGGCTCAGTGGTAGAGGGCTTGCCTTGCATGCCTGAGGCCCTGGGTTCGATTCCTCAGCACCACATACACAAAAAGAAAAAAAGCCAGAAGTGGCGCTGTGGCTCAAGTGGTAGAGCGCTAGCCTTGAGCTGAAGAGCTGAGGGACAGTGCCCAGGCCCAGAGTTCAGGCCCCAC